GCAAATCCACTGGGCTTTCAATATGAAGCCAGAAAATCGGGACTTTTTAAAAACGCAGCGGGAAATGGGAAAAATTGTTATAAAGTGTGACCGTCCCGCCATAATCAGGATGTCTGGTCACCTTACAATAAGCTAAAGAAATTTTTCAGTCTCACAGAGAAGATTTGAACACTCATAGGAGTGAAGAATTGCCCAAGAGCTCCTTTCCAAGATAGAAGCAACCAAGAAAACACTACGTTTTATACCATGAAGTTTGGAATCAGTTGCAAAAATATTAAATCCCTAAAGGAATGTGAAAAAAATGAATTCTCTCTCACTAAAGCTTAGTTTTAACCAAGTTACTATGCAACTACATTAAGTTATTTCCAGAAGAAGCTACATTAACATGAGTTCACCATTTTTTTTAAAAAAACTTTAACACATTGTACTGTCATTTTGACTTCTAGATCAATTTAACAAATATTAGAGAAATTAAATATGAATATTCAAATCAATACAAATTGTAATTCAAGTTCACTGATATTATCTATTTACCTTGATCTTGGATCAGGCAATCGGTTGTAACAAGAGGAGGAACTTGACCTCTGATATTGGTAGCATAGGTCTGACCTCCTCTGGAAACTTTATCATTTTCAATTACTTGAATCTTAGGGATAAAATAAATAATAAAATAAACAATATAAGCATTGGAAGCAGACTTTAATTTTTTAAAATTAATGTTTACAGACATGTTACCACAGTTCAAAAATCAAGGCAGGTTTTATAGATCAAGAAAACAATAGGTTTTGATGCTGCTTGGAAGAAACCTTACAATGCAATTTCAAAAAAATGAAGAACGTTATATATTTCAAAAATTTCTTTAAGCATTATAATAGTACAGTAATTGATTCAAACTCCCACCCGTCTTTCACCCATGATACTAAGATTCAAGCATATATTCAAGAACAGTTTTTGTTGTTCTCCTCAGCTCTACACAGTATGGACAATCGTAGGGATTTTCTGCAGCTAATCACAAAATTACAATAAGCAAAATAAAATGAGCAGTTAAATGACACCAAAAAAGTTTAACACAAGGTAAAAGAAGAAAGTTGGAACTTTGTTTTTTTTAAAAAAAGGATAATAAGAATTACGTACATTTCCAAGTTTAGAATGAAATAAACCAAGAAAATTCTTCTAGGTTAATGCAAAGATCTCATCTGAACATTTTAAGTGAGTGGGAGCATGCCAACAGAACAAAACTCCACTATTTTTAATGTCTTATCTCAGAAGCTAGTAAAAATGCTTGCTGCTTTGTTTTTCATTCATACATCTTGAAAATAAATGGGAATTATACCAACCAAATTCCAGAGGAAATTTAGTAATGTTTTTTGTAGTCTGCCTGCATAGTTGTTTGATTTATTTATTTATTTATTTATTTATTAAATTACCCCCTGTGCTTTTAAAATATAGTCGGTCAGTTGATAAGTATCAGCACTCAAATTACATCTGTGGTCCTAGGATAAAAAAAACCAAGGAAGCAAGAGCTTGTTGAGTAGAATATTCAAAATAATATGGAATTTTGTTTTCGGCTACTCTAAATCACTGGCGTCAAACTCACTGTGTCACTTTGCCATCATGTGACATTGTGCGACGTTTTTCCCCTTCACAGAGCTTGGGTGGGGGTGACCTGCACGTGACACATCCAGCCTGAGGGCTGCCAGTTTGACACCCCTGCTCTAAGCACTTCAATGAAAATTCCAGGTTTAGAAGTTTTGGGACATGATACAGTGATACAACTTGCATGCCACATCCAGAGAACCAAAAGGATGAAATTCTTACTCACTGGACTTGGAATGGAATCTGGATCAAGTTTTCTTTGCTGTGGTCCAGCTAATTGTGCTGGACCTGAGGGAAGACCACCTGGATAAGACAGTTGTCCCCCTGCCATTGGAGGACCATAATTTCCTGCAAAAAATGTGAAAATGTAATAATTTCACCAATATTCATAACTTTATTTTATAACCTGTGTTTTCTATCTGTTTTGACTTTTGTTAAGGAGGTTTTTTTTTAAAAAAGTGATAAAGCTATTCCCTGTTTAAAATCTATACTCCAAACAAGACATGGCTATTTTCTCTCTTATCTGATGGGGAAGGATAAAGAGAGATCTCTATAAATAAAGATCTCTTGGGAATATTTCATGGAATATGTTGAAAAACAAAGGAGAGAATGGTTTAACATATGTAAACTAAAATGCTTTCCAATATTTCTATTATTTTCTTTAAAAACAGTGAGGAGGAGATGTTATCCAAATATGAAAACATGGGATAATCTTGCTGACTATTGAATTTTCTATTTCAAAGTTGTTTTCTCTCCTTTGTGCTGGTGAGTGTGTTTGCTCGACATGCATGCTACCTATCAGTAAACTATTCATCTTATGGACATCTGATTTAGATAATCCAGCAAACAAAGGTCATTTTCTTAGTGTATGATCAACAATATTCTGGTAACCGGCCAACTGCTATCTCCCTAACAATTATTTTTACTGTAATACTGTTAAACATATTATTTTAACCAGGGGTGGGTTCCAGCAGGCATTACTGCCGGTTCGCTCATATGCAATTAAAATTATTTTGCACATATGCAGAACTGAAAAACCAGATGGTGGCACTAGCGCCGCCGCCCGGGGAACTGGTTCAGAGGCGCGACAGGCCTGGGTCGCTGCCTGTTCCAGCAACCTAAGCCGCCAAACCACTACCGGTTCAGCCGAACCAGTCTGAATTGGTAGGAACCCACCACTAATTTTAACTAATCTGTATGGGGGGTTCATCCTGCAAGAGCAATTCTAGGTGGATCATATAGACTTAAAAGCTCAAATATACTAACTGTTAAGGCACGTAAATGGTGGCATTCAAAGACAACATAAACTATTTACGGATAACAAATCCATCTCACAGGCCCAATTTAAACAGTTCTACACGTTCTGTGATGGTCCAGTTACGCCTTGGATACATATACCTATTTTTTTAAATTCCTCTTCTGCCAGGCCTATAAAAAGGTGGGGGGGAAATCATGTCCCATTTTGCATCACTCAAGCATTTTGTCTCTGGGTTCAGAACTCATAAAAGGTCCCAATGTTTCAAGGCCAAGAGGAACACATCTCAAGTAAAACAGCAATAGGGATAAGTTTGATCTATACTGCAGTCTAGTCAACACGTTAGGTCTAGAGTTAGCTCTATAGGTCATACTTAGCCAATTTCTGTTCACTATGCCACATACAGCAAAGAATCTATGGACAGGAAAAAAAATAAACCTTAGATGCTTTTTTCATTTTTCATTAGATGCTACTCCCTTCCCCATCTTCAAAACAGAAATTACAGCCTGTTAATTCTATGTTGCTTAGGTGAGATGGACAGTGTAGAAATTTAATAATAAACACATGAAATAAAATGTAGGCATCTACACCTACCATACTGAGAAGGAAACCCAGGACCTGGGGGTTCCCCTGCAAATTGCTGTGGCAAGTTGGTGTTCAATGGATTTGGGCCAGGGATCCCCTCCTGCCTGGCCATTGAAGGCGGTAAAGGTGGAGCGCAGTGACTATGCAAGTTATTTGGTGGAGAAACAGGAGGACTTGTTGGCAAAGCCATTTGATGTGGCTGAAGAGGTGGACCTTGCAAACATGATGGTTGGCCCGAAGGTCCATACGAAGGTGGATTCTGAGCATTACTGGGACCTATACAAGAATACAATAATGAAGTATGCATCTAAAACTCAAAATTGTCATGCAGTCATATCTGAGTAATTTAGTCTTCTAGACATGTATAATACATATTTTTGTTAATGATATATTACTTTGAAATTACAATGAATTACATACAAGTTTAATTATATTTAAAGTCTGCACAGAGGCATAGTGCACCTCAATTCAAACTAGAGTCCTTGTGATTTCATGGACATATTTATATAGCACTGTTGGCAACAATAAAGAACTGGTTTGCCATTACTTTTTTCTTTTTTTTTTCATCCTTAGTCTAGATCCGTGATGGCGAATCTGTGACATGCATGCCACAGGTGGCACACTGAGCCATTTGTCAGGGCACGCAAGGCGTTGCCCTGTCAGCTGGCCAGTGCGCTGACTTCTGACTTCTTTTGAGACCATTTTTGGCCCTCCGGAGCCTCCAGAGCACGAAAAACTGGTCCTATGGGCAAACTGGAAGTTTAGGAACAAACTTCTGGTTTGCTCGTAGGGCCGGGTTTAGCCCTTCGGAGCCTTCAGGGGGCCTTTTGCCGCAAAAGAAAGAAAGCGCCAGCCCACCAGCAGAGGCAGGTAAAACATCCGCCTCTGTTGGCGGGCTGCCCCGACACAGAGAAAGAAAGCTGGCAGGCTGCCCTCCCTGCCTCTCCTACCCCCTTCCCTCTCTTCTCAAACAAACTCTCTCTCAAATTGTTTGAATGGAGTGAAGAAACAAACACACGCACGCACACACACACACACACACAAATTACTTACAATTACTTACAAATTATATTAATTTTGAATTCCTCCCCCCCTTTGACTCACATACCTTTTCCAGCTGTTTCACAATCACAGAGGATTTCAA